TTCATATTACAGAATATAATAACGATAGAGAAACTTCCCAATTTCTTATTTCAAATGGAGCTGATGTGAATACAAAAGATAATTTTGGGGAAACTCCACTTGAAATCGCTGTTGAAATTAATCACCAAGAAGTGATTGAAGTTTTAATTTCGCATGGGGTTAGCCCTGAGAAAAAAGGATAGTAAAAAGGCTCATATGGGACGAACTTTAAATTGAACGGTCAATTTAAAGCAAGTATTCAATTTTTTGGTCAATTTAAAGCAATCATATATGTAGTTTGTTTTAAAGGCTTGATCAATAACATATGATCAGTACTCGTTGAGTATGTTATGATGTTAAGAGATAATGGATAGTACACTTTAATATTGAAATTGAATTTGGATTATTATGCAATATTCTATAATATATATTATGATGATCATAAGAATGTGTTGTATGTGATGACACTTAAGTATCATTGATATTTTTTAATTATTGAAAAAGTTAGTAAATAATATTTCTTAATGTGGTGTTCTATTTCGTGAATTCAATAATCACTGTTTTAGAATTTATAAGTATAAGTTGAAAATGATAAGCTTAGAATGACAAGCTGATGATGCCGGGATAAAAAATAATAATCTGTCAAAATGCTCATTTTAATATAAGAAGGTTAGGAAATGGACTTTGACCTTGAGAAAAAGCCCATCTTCTAACTTTCAGACGAATTTTGGTTAACATTGCGAGTGTCTGCTGCAAATCTCTGCTGAAGCAGCAGGCACTCGCAATTGTAGGCCATGGCAATTGTATTTATAGTGTTAGAATACAATTGCCATGACTTTTGTGTAATCATTTGATCTTCCTGGAAGGAGTTGCAATGGAAGCCAAACCCCACTCCATCCAGTATCAGAAAGCCAGAAAGGAAGTCTTAACCTTGAGAAAGGGCTTCCTTCTGGGCTTTCTGTGTTACATTGGATCATAATCTGTAGAGAAGGGAGTATTTGCAGATTCTGGCCTCTTATAAGGCCAGATCTTCGTATTTCATGCTTCCCAGGGCCGGATTTCTCTCCTCGCCATAGATCAGGACGGCATTTGAGAAGCCGGCCCTGAGTAATGTAAGCGAGGCTCTGGCCTCTACTGAGGCCAGAGCCTGTGATATTACGTCTTTCAGGGCCGAGTTTCTGCGAGAATGTCTATCATGTGGATGATCATCGCAAAACTCGGCCCTGAGGATGAATTTTGCAGGCTCTGGCCTCAGTAGGAGCCAGAGCTTGGTATTGTAGGATTCCCAGGGCCGGTTTTCGCTCCTGCCACCCGGGATAAGGGCGGCATTTGAGAAAGCCGGCCCTATGGATTTAAAGCGAAGCCCTGGCCTTTGCTATGGTCAGGGCCTGTGTATTTCTTTCTTTCAGGGCCGAAATGAGAGGAGATCGTCAATGATGTGGACGATCTCCCTCAAAATCGGCCCTGAGGATTGCATTTGTAGGCTCTGGCCTTTGCTAGGGTCAGAGCTTCGTTTGGTAAGTATCCCAAGGCCGGATTCCGCTCCTGCCGCCCGGGATAAGGGCTGCATTTGAGAAAGCCGGCCCTGGGTATTTAAAACGAGCCTGGCCTTTGCTGGGGCCAGAGCCTGTATCTGTATGTCTTTCAGGGGCCGAGTTCTTGCGAGACTGTCGACATGATCGACGATCATCGCAAAACTCGGCCCTGAGGATTGTTTTTGAAAGCTCTGGTCACTGCTAAGGCCAGAGCTTCGTATGGGCACTCTCTCGGAGCTGGATTCCTCTCCGGCCGCCCTGAATCAGGGCGGTCTTTGAGGAAACCGGCCCCGAGGATAGTTTGCGAAGCTCTGGCCTTAGCAATGACCAGAGCTTGTGATTTTAATGAAGAGCCAAGTTCCTCTCGGATCGTGCCTAATGAGGACGACCGTCGAGGAACTTGGCTCTGAGGAGATGAATTGTGAGCTCTGGCCTCAATGAAGGCCAGAGTTTTGAATGGAATGTTTTGATGGGATGAGCCAATGCTCAGTAAGCTCGTCCCATCAAAACATTCGATTAAAAATTGAATTAAAAATTATCGTAATTATTGAAAAATTACAACAATATTTTTGAATGATATTATTATATAATAAGAATTGAATAAATTTCTCACAAAATTAAATAAAAATTTCCAAAAAATATTAGAAAATTTTAAAAATTATTGAAAAAATAACAAATTTGATAAGAAAATTAAGGATTAGAGAAATTTAAGAAATATAGAAAATTTTTATTTATTATTGTAATGGGAAAATGAGGATATTTGAGGAGTTTTATACAGAATGTGATCTTTATAATTAAAAGAAATGAAGATATTCAAGAAAGGAGTTTACAAATGCAGGGTAAAGGAACAATACTCTGCATTTGTAAACTCCTTTCTTGAATTGAAATTCAATGAATCACATTCAAGTGAAAAAGTGCAAGCTATTCGAGAAAGGAGTTTACAAATGCAGGGTAAAGGAACAATACTCTGCATTTGTAAACTCCTTTCTTGAATTGAAATTCAATGAATCACATTCAAGTGAAAAAGTGCGAGTTTTCCTAATTTACACATATAAATGCAATATAATAGCAATATCACACTAAGCACAAATGTAATCTCAATCAAAACACATTATCTTCATAAATGTTAACAAATTTTTCTATTCACACATGTCTAATCATAAATAATTAAGTCTCTCCATCATTTATCGTCTAATCAAATATAATTTACATTCTCATTGATAATTGTTATATAAAAATAACATAGATTATATTTCAAATGAGACTCTTAGAGATTTTCTTATTTTAACATTGTAATAATATAGAATAGCATATAGATATATATGTAATAACGTATATATATGCTTATTTCTCTCATGTTTCGAAATGCAATGTGATATTCCACTCACTTTTTATAGAAATCTACCATACTCATAGGAATGATGACATATACATTTGTCTATCTTTCTACGTTGTAAAAACCTTCATTAGCCCTAAGCTCAAAGTTTTTCTCATTCATTGCTTTAAATTGACCAAAAAATTGAATACTTGCTTTAAATTGACCATTCAATTTAAAGTTCGTCCCAGGCTCATATGATCAAAATTAAAACTTAATTCCGGGACATTCTTTTTAATACGATCAAAAAGATCAATTCTAACTTTATACAATTCTTGCATTAAAGAATATAATATATTTACAACATTTAATTTTTTTTTATTCAATTGAAATTATAAATTTTTGTTTACATTCTTGCTCTCTCATGATATTGGTATGGTTAATCAAAAGTACATTAAAAATCATCATATCAATTATTACACTCATTTATAGTATTTTCAATGCACCATTTTCATGGATTTTCGAAAAAATGAAATCTAGATTTGCTGGTCGAAAGGAAAAAGTTTATCCAAGCTGGATCAAAGTTAATGATTTCGCAATAGGACCTCACGAACCTGGTCATACCTTAAATATCACACCTGATCCAAAAATCATCAATTATTTTGAAAGTCAAACCAAAGATACAAAATCATATATCGAGTACAAAGGGAGATTTCTATCAGCTATTGAAAATCTATTACGTTTCAACAGATTTTATACCTTAAATGAAGAAGATATTACAGTTTATGGACAGTTTGCAATGAAAAAATTTTTAGAAAAGTATAGGGTGTCCAAAGGTGTGTTTAGCACAAACCTGAATACTGCGAATAGAAATAAACAAGTTACATATATATAAAGTTTATTTAAATATAATCACCATTGGATTCAATCACGCGTTCGCAGCGATCGATCCAGGCTTGAAAGACACGCTTTAAATCATCATGAGAAAATTGCTCAAATTGCTCTCTTACAAAATTTTCAAGATCATCTGGACTCGCGAATTCGCGTCCTTCAGCTCTCTTTTTTAGCGTGCCGAATAAATAAAAGTCAGAGGGTGCAATATCAGGTGAATAAATTGGGTTTGGAACAACTTTGACATTGTTTTCCACCAAGTAATTCATTACCTTATGACTTTTGTGAACTCTTGAATTATCAAAATGAATTGCAAACTTTTGTTTTTGTTGTTTGGATTTCTCAAACTCATCAGAATTGATAATTTGAGTAAGAACATTGTCAATTAGATACTGAGCATTCATCGTATTAGGTTTTTGAAGAATATCAATTGCGATGATGCCATTCACGCCCCAAAAAACCGACAACATCATCATTGGTGTGTCAATTTTTTTCTTCGGGAATGTTTGCGGATTTTCATCCTTCGGGATCCACATGATTTTGGCTTCTGTTGCATATTGAAACCAAGACTCGTCCCCTGTTACTAAAAAGCGAAACTTCTTGGATTGATACGCACCCAATATAGAGAGGAGCTCTTTCGAAGATTGGACTCTAGATTTTTTTTGAACTGAATTAAGGTTGTGCGGAACCCAACGTGTATACGCTAGTTTGTAGTTCAAATAATTGTGCAGATAATAACTGACTGTTGTACGTGGTATCTTTGTCATCTCCTCTATCCTTCTGAGTGATGCTCTTGGGTCTTCATCTAGCGCTTGAAGAATTGCTTTGATTTTTCTTTGATCCGGCGATTTTTTGTCAATTTTTATGATGGGCGCCTTTTTGTTCATGAAGTGATACATCCTAACATGATACGTTACAGTGGAATAGCTAGGAGCATCCATACCGAAGCATTTTACCAATGTCTCGTAGATTTTTTTACAGTCTTTGCATTTTTTTGCAAGAGCGAGGATGTTTTCTTTATGATTCATTAAAAAAATGAAAAAAATCCCGCCAAAATTTCCCGCGAAACCGCCTCTTGTCTCAAAATTCATTTTATATCCCGGCATGGAGCCAAAATACAACTTACTCATCATATACATATATTCATATTTTTTATTATATATTTATAATCAGCATATATCTCCTTTAATAGTCTCATATAGAGCGCTGTGCTAAACGCACCTTTGGACACCCTATATTATCGTAGTGATCTTAAAGTGATTTATAGAATCAATGCAAACATGATTGAATATATATTCAAAGGAATCATTTTAGGATATGCAATCCAACATAATGCGAGTCAAGAAGTCATTGATTCTATCAAAGAATTTGGTTGTGGAACAACATATTCGAAGTTTTTCTTATTCACAGATCCATGGATTCCAAGAGACAAATACTATTCTATGCCTAAGATTGTTTATGAGACGGGTCAATATCTTTATCGATCAGATAAAACACCCGAAGAACTCAATCTCGAAGAGTTACATGTTGTTGAACATCCATGGCAAAAGAAAAAACCAGGTTCAACAAAACATCCTAAAAGAACGTCGATCCCACCATATATGAAATTATAGTTTAATTATCAGAGATATTCATTATTAATATTTCATTTTAATAAAAATTTTATTTATGTCAGTCTGACAGTTTCTTACGTGTTAATTGTTATGGATATTATTTCTTCAACTCCAATACTCACTCTATTCAACAACCAATAAATAACTATTTTAATGAACACAAAAAGCACGAAAAAAATATATATAAATCAATTTTTATTTTGTTTTTTTATATACTGATTCAAAAAAGAATTTATATAAATAATATAGCTATAAATAATAAATATACAAAATAGACTTATTCAGTGAAAGGTCCCATTGCTTCTTCTATTGATATGTTATCAGGAAGGAGGCTGAACAACCTCATCTTGATTTCAGCGAATCTTCTCATCTTTGCCGCTCTAATTCTATCAGCTGTTTCCTCTGTTTTCTCGAGAATTGTTGCGCATTTGTACAAAGCCTGAGGATTTCCTTGTTCAGCAGCCATGAAGTAGTACTTGTTTGCGTCTGCCTGTGATTGAGGAACTCCTGCACCATTCTCGTACATCGCGCCTAAGTTAAACATTGCGTTTGTGTTTCCTAATTCGATGGCTCTTCTGAACATTTTCACAGCAAGTTTAGAATCCTGAGTTACGCCTTTTCCATTCTGATACATTCTTCCGAGGTTTGAGTATGCGTAGCTGTTTCCGAGTGCTGCAGCTCTCTGGTAGTAAGAAGAAGCCTGTGCGTATCTTGGTTCTTCAGCACCACCGAAACCAGACTCGAGTAATTGTCCGCAGCAGATCATTCCGATTGGATCATTCATTTCTGCGGCCAATCTGTAGACAGCGAATGCCTCTTTGTATCTCATTGGACCTTCCTGGATCAGCATGTGTCCGTAGTTTGTGCAGCCGCGAGGAATCCTGCAGTTGGCGGCCTGTTCGAAGTAACGCCTTGCCTCAGTGATGTTCTGCTGGCAGCCGTTGCCGTAGAGATAGCATTCACCGAGATCATTCAGTGCCAAAGCGTTTTTCAGTTCAACGGAACTTTTGATCAGTTGGAAACCTTCTTCTGCATTTCTCTCAACGAGTTTGCCGCTGAGAAGTAGTTGGCCGAGCTTCAACATGGCTAATGAGTTGTTCTTCTCTGCAGCAAGTCGCATGTACTCAATACCACGGGAAATAGCATCAGTGTCACCTTTTTTCTTCATCAGAATTCTGCCAGCGTTGAAAAGTGCCAATTCATGGCCCTGGTCAGCTGCCAACATGTAGAACCTGAGTGCGTCGTCTTCGTCTTTGAGGATTTTCTCGAGATATCTCGCGTATTCGTTTTGGGCGGGTGCGGAACCGGCTTCTGCAGCGCGACGGAGGAAATCGCCTGTTCTTTGTCTCTGCGCCATATCATTGATATGCTTGAACAGGAATCGACCAACTTTGAGTGCTGCTTCGGTGTTTCCGAGTGATGCAGCGCGTTCATAAAATTGGATCGCGCTGTCGTTGATGTCATCTAGAGCAGCGTTGGTATTCATGATCTCTGCGGCACGGAGAAGAGCGTTACCGGCTTTTTCGACCATTTCTTTGTTATCGCGGTTCATTTCACCGTGAGCACCAGCGCAATCGTAGAAAGAAATGGCGTTTGGTATACTCTGTGGTGCAAAGCGATTGTTTCCTTCGAAGTAGATTCTGCCTAAGTTGCACAAAGCTTCGATTGATCCTTTATCTGCGGCCATGTTGAAGAAATTGAGGGATTGAGCATCGTCACGATCACAGTCTATGCCCTTCTCGAATTGTAGACCAACTTTGTTCATCGCTGCCGCGTTTCCGGATTCGGCAAATTTACAAAGTTGGAAGAAACGGACTTTTGATGGTACAGCGTAGACGTTGATGTTGATTTGCTTTGCGGCGAATGGAGTAAGCTTGTCTCTGTTGGCGTAATCCTTTGGTCCGAAGATTTCGTTTTCGGAAAACAAAGCTGTGATAAGAGAGTCCTCTGTAATACGATTTCCTTTGATTTCTGTGAAGCATCCTTCAAGGATGGCTTTTAATGCTTCTGGAGCGTCCTCTGGAATCGAAATATCTGTTGGAACTTTTTCTGTAAATATGGCCTTGAAGATCAAGCCGAGATCGAAAATATCGCCTTCATTGCTTGGTGCTTGCTCTGGTGGGTTCCAGAACTCTGGTCTGATCGTAGTTACGGTGTTTTGCGAGTAAGGAATGCCGTAGCCTGATACAAAGGAAGTTCCTTCTGGAGTAACTAACACGTTGTCTAAGTATAAGTTGTTATGAACGATTTTGGAGTTATGGAGGAAGCGAATAGCTGAGGCTGTTGAGACCGCGATGGATCTCTTTTGCTCTGGGGTAAATTTAACTTCACCTTTCTGAAGGATATCGAGAAGTGTTGGAAATCCTTGATTTTTCTGGAATATTGCTGGGTAAGTGAAATTTGATGTTTCAGGATGTGAAAAACCAACAATTGGGAGCAACGAAATGAAATCAATGTTCATTAGAGATGTAAGATACGCCCAGATCTTTGTGTTTTCTGGTAACCCATCCTTGATAAATGTAACAAAATACCTTTCTCCAGATTCAGAATTTTTAGCTGGAAAAACACATTGCTTCTCTTCATTAATGGGTGTATTAGCTTTTGCGATATCCGCTTCCGAAAAAGTTAAATCTGTAACGAAAACAGTATTCGCACTCATTTTTTTTACTTTATAGAAATATTTTTTTTTGGAAAGTGACGTAGATTTCGCTTTTTTCATTACATCACAAATCAAATAAATTATTTCTACCTTACAAAGATAAATATATTTATCTTATAATTGGCCAATTTTGGATCAGATTTATGACAATTTTTTTTTGAAACCAATCAAATCCCATAAACATAGTTTAGGTTAACATTTTCTCAATGAATATAGTATTATACTTCATTGAAATCAAGTATTTGCTGTTTTTGAATTCTCTAGAATTTAATATTTGGATATTAAGCGGTTATTCCTAATATCATATGATTAATTATCTATAATGGGAGTTAGAATTATGCTTACTGGATCATATCTTCACATTGGATGAAGAAATTATTTTCCCCACCAAAACCTTCAATGGGGAAATCATCATCATTCAAGAATCCATGGATCGAAGAAGATACAAATTCAAAAATAATAGGTTATAAGAAGTTAAATGTCTCAGATATCATTACAAATTTTGAAACTGATTCAAAAGCAAGTAAAATGGAAGAATTAAAAGATGAATTACAATTTAGAATCATACGAAATGATAATTGCTCTCAATCATTGATGTGGTTACTAGAAGCAAGAAATATTTTCATGTGCCAGCTATCAAACATGTCACAAGATTACATATCTGAGCTTGTTTTCAATCGTTATCATAAAACTCTTATCATTATTTATCAAGGCGTCGTTGTTGGCGGAATTTGTTTTAGAGAATTCGAAAAATTTGCAGAAATAGCATTTTGTGCAGTCGGAAACAAGTTTCATATCAATGGTTTTGGCTCATACATGATGGCACTTTTTAAAACTTACTTACAGACAGTTGGAATTCTTAATATTTTTACATATGGCGATGATACAGCATTAGTTTTCTTTCACAGACATGGATTCTCAAAACATACTGGCTTACAGTCTTCTGAATGGAAAGGATACTTAAAAGATTACGTAAATGCAACTTTACTAACATGCAAGATTAATCCTCAAATAGATTACACAATGATACATGCAGCTCTTGATGCAATGCTTAATACAATCGAAAAAGAGCTCGGTATGAGTAAAATTAACAGAGTAACGGAATTTCCTTTTACCAGAATTGAAGGTTTTATGGTTGACCAAAGGCCAAATCGTGTTGTCGAAGATAAAAATATGTCTGCTGCTTTCGCCGCACTTTTGAATTATTCCAAAGCTGATTTGTTTTGGAAAGTACCACAACAAGAGCTGGGTTCAGAGTATTCATTATCTAAGGTTTATAAAAATCTAATTAAGAATACTTATCATTCTTATGAAGAATTTTCGAATGATGTGATCAAAGTATTTCAGTCAGTTATAGATAATTCGCCTGACACAAATACATTCACTAAAGCAGCCAAGAAAGTTATTGAAAAAGCCCAAGAAATTTTACAAAAATACAAACCATAGAGCTTTATCTTTGTTTATATTCTTGTTTTATTTGTATTCTAAAATTTGTTTGCATATATTAGGTTTAAATAGAGAACTGCGTCCAATGTTTTTTTTGCCATGTAAATTATTGAAATATCAAAATGTCAAATGCTATGAAGAATACAAGAAACCAATTCACTGTTACTCAAGAAATGACACAGATTCAGAAGAAGTATATTCTTCAGATCACTAATAATATTTATGACCTTCCTATTGCAGCTGAATTTCGTGATCCAGTCGAAACAAAAGAATATTATGAAAAGCTAAAGAAACCAATGGACTTATCTATCGTTTTACACAGAATAAAAAAGAATGAATATCAATCTGTTGAAAAATGGAAAGAAGATATGAACTTAATTTGGAAAAACTACCAAAACGTGTATTCAGATCAAAGACAACTTCCATATATTATTGCCTCTGAACTTGCAAGACTATTCAAGGATATGAGCGATAATATTCCCAGAACTGAAATTGAAGAATGGAAATATAAATGTAAACAAGCAACTTTGGAAATTGGAACTATCATTGAAGCCAGACCTGATCAACAGAAGAAGCTCATCAACCCATCAGGCTTATTGAAACTTAAGCTCCCAGTCAAGCAACATAAGATCTTACTCAGAGTTACATCTCAAACCATAGAAAAGCAATAATCATTATACCTTAAGAATTCAAAAAATTCTACCTTCTATTTCATATTAATAAATATTTTAATGTTTGATAACAAATTTTGGATGCTTTTTTATTTGCGATGAATTGCGTTGCGTTATCCACATATGAATATCATTATTTTAATTTGCTCTAATAATGATTGGATATTTTGGGCGATATAGAAATGAAAATTGAATGGTTTACGTCTCGATGCCGATATGAAGTGGAGCCCCAAATATGACAAACTGATGATTTTGATTTGAGACTATTTATTTTTAATAGCATACTTGTGTTCATAAAAAATCTAACACACGAACCAAACAATCTCTCTATACGAGGCTCATTCAAGAAAAATATCATTTCGTAAAAGAATTATTTTTTGCTTTCATATCGGATAAATTAATAATAATACCTTTTAATCGATTGCAGTAGCTATGCTTAACAAAAGCCTATTTTTTCGCAGAAACATTCCTTATCACACAAAGGATAACCCTTTGCTACATAGTACATAGTCTTTAAGTTCTTTGACATATAGCTTCTGCATAATGGAACAATAGGTTCTCTAAATTCTGAGCACCATCCCATGGTTGCATTAAAAACTCTTGGATATGATGCTCCAGAACGGGCTAACTTAAGGAAGTCATCTCCAAATTCTTCACATATGAAGCAGTATGAACCTGAGAATATGAGTCCCAATAAGAGGAAGAACATTTTATTCAACTGAATTGTATTGAATTTTTCTGATATCTTCAATTTTTTTCTGAGGATCAGATCGACGAATGTTTGATTCTTTGCTAAATCTTTATTACACATGAAATAGGAGAATTATTTTGATCTGACACAAGGACAAATTTTCGGATACGGAAAGCTTTTTAACATGAATTGTATCTATTTATTACACATATAGAGTAAGAATCAGTTATAGGATTTAGTTCAGCTCTATTCACAACATATAACACTATGCTTATAAAAATTGCTTGGTATTCTAAACTTAATACTTTTATTATAATATATCTTTCTAATCGATGGGGAAAACTGGACTTAGTAAGCTCTATTTAGAGTGTTATAATTGATAAAATTCCATAAATAAATTTGTTCATCTGCTACAATTGGTAGAGCGTATGAACCATCAGATATACAGATAACCTGCATTGTTGGATCATTATATCCTTGAAATTCATTAAAATTTACTTATTCACGTCCATCCAATTTCATATCAAAAGGATGAATACGATGGACAGCAAATTTTCTACAAGTTGAAGCCCAGGATATATATGAAATTGTTTGATATGATTGAATAGAAGGATTTCCTTTAAATTGTAATATTTTTTTTATTAAAGATGAATTGGGATCATTATATATAAATTTCATATTTTTTTGCTCTAAAATTGATTGGATATTTTTGGTGCGATATTTTGATAATAAAAGTGACATATAAAACAATTATGAACACATATGATCATAATTACTGCAACAAAATGCTCAGCCATTTCAAAAAGCAACCAATGTGCAAGCCATTCTTGAATCCTGTCGATCCAGTTGCCGATTCTTGCCCAACATATTACTCAATTATCAAACATCCAATGGATTTTTCAACAATGAAAAAGAAATTAGCTCAAAATCAATACGAAACAGTCGATGCCTTTATAGATGATATTAGACTGGTTGCTAAAAATGCAAAAATGTTTAACGGAGATTCTAGTATTATTGGAATGTCAGCGGATGACATGATTGCTGAAGTCGACAAAATGCTTGCTGAGAAGTGTACATGCCCAGAAGAAGAATGGTACTTTAGTGTTCAAGATGGTTCAGATAAATTAAGCGCTCATATCTTGAACGCACCAGCTTCAGTATCTTTCATACCAGAACTAACATTACCAGACAATTTTGATGAGGAATTACTTGATGAAGAGCATAAAGCAAAAATAAACGAAATTATCGAAAAATTTGTTGGAGTTAAAATTGCAACAGCATGGAAGTTTTTGGATCGAACAAACAGATCTGCTATCTTGGATATACTTAAAGATGTCACTTTCCCAGAAAAAGAGAAAGTAGAAGAAGAAAAGAAGGAAGAAGAACAAAAAGAAGAAGAGAAGAAAGAAGAGGAACCAAAAGAAGAAGAAAAGAAAGAAGAGCCAAAGGAGGAGGAGAAGAAAGAAGAGGAAAAAAAGGAAGAAGAACAAAAAGAAGAAAAGAAAGATGAAGATAAAAAAGAAGAAGAGAAGAAAGAAGAATAGACCCTTTTAAGGTCACAAATCACTTGTTTATAACTATTATGTTTATTGTGTGCTATTGAACTTTAAAAAATTAATCCTGTTTTTACAACAATTTTTCTTTTACAAAATGGTTTCTTGTAACTATAAATATCTTATTTGGCATATCGAAAGCTTTTATGTTAGACTGATAATCATTCACAAGTCTCGGAGTTAATTATATGAGATTAATTTTTATTCATAGAATGCCTTCAAAACTTAATATCCTTGATATGTTGGCAATTGACATAAAGGACCCATTAGAATTCACCCATTTTGATATAGGTGATTTTAATGGATGGTGATTATAAAAATGAAATCGAAGAAAATGAAGCGGAAAGAATACCGTTAGTACAAACTCTCGAAAATACAGAAGACGAAGATAAAGAAACAAGAATAATTGCTCAAATCGATTCGTTCTATAATAATTTCAATCAAAATTTACTAAATAGCTATTTTTTCATATATAACGTATGCAGAACAATCAATGAGAACATTAGATCATCCTTAAAGGACTACAATTTTTCAGAATTATTCATAAACTCCATTATTTCAACCGATAACATAGGCATCAAAGCGCAAGGTATGATTTCACTTGGGGTATACTACATTGCATTTCCATCTTTTATCGATCATGCATTTATTTCATATACGACCGAATCCTTCGTTTCAATCAACGAGATCATACCAGAACTTGTTGAATATATTAAAGGACACTTAATACTAATCAATTCATTTGTCACTTCCTATGATTTACTCAGAGAAATTGATGATAGATTTTATTCTGTATTGCCATTATTCTTTTTGCACCCACTTCTAATAAGATCATCAAAATACATATTATCCATTCTCACCCAATCAGTAAAAATCCTATCAGCTATAGAAGCTGGAGATAAAACCGAAATTTTCAATAATTTATGCAACGACGTTGTATCTGCTTCATTAGCAATAATTAAACATGATTCAAAAATACATTACACGCAAGAACGTACTCATTTGCTTCTTTTAATTGTTCAAGGAGAATTAATTGACAAAGGAAACATAGAAATTCAAAACGCATTCAATAATGTTATTCAATTTGAAAATCCTAATCTTAAAAACATCTTTGATATAGTAAATGCTACAGAAAATTTCGATAATTTGTATGATGATTTAATAATACAAGCATTTGAAGCATTGGCAAACGAAATTACCGAAAAAACAGATAATATTAGAATATCTGCAATGAGATTAATGACAAAACTCTTAGAAAAAGATTCAAATAGATTTAGTTCAATTTTTCTTTGCGATGATTCAATAGAATACATACAAGACATTATAAAAATAATAAATAATGGTACAGCAAATGAGTTTAAGCATGCAGGAAAACTCTTGTCGTTCATTATGCAAAGATTTCCACAATTATTTGCAAAAGAAATTTGGTGGACGACCAACGACCCGAATGACGTGAATTTACCGAATGCAATTGATAAATTCATATTATATAAACAGTCTAGGACACAGTCATTCTTTCTTGGACTCGAATGCATCGCTTCTTTCATGAGAATTGAGAATATTGATTCACAACCTTTCATAGAAGCATTAGTCAACATAGGAATCAAAGAAAAGATGGAAGAATATATAGATGATGATCCTGATGATGAATTGGCACCATTTGTATATGAAGATCTATTCGGAGAATAGAAAATATAATACAGAATATTATTGTTTGAATTATAAAAAATTTATTGCCTTATCTCTCATTTTTTATCACTTTCCAGTACTTTTTTATATGAGTGATCAATATAAAGTGAGAATGCACTTATGTGGATTTAAATGGAATTAATTTCATCAACTGAGAATTTATAGTTACATCATAAATCGGGTTTATATCATGAATTTCATGGGCGTGATGCTTAAAAAGAGAAAGTTGGATCATGATGTTAGAATAAATATAATATTGAAGGAATAAATCATAAATATGGTATTTACGTGGAAAATGTCATGTAAACAAAGCACTGCAATTCTTAGATACTAGTTAGGAAATGTAAGCTGATCAGTGATTTATCAATTTTAGGATCATTGATGAATAAGTAATTTGCCCAGTCCAAAGGACTGCTGCCATCAACAAATTTCTCATCAAAGTTATCGCAAAAATTTATTAGAGCACATTTTCCCATTAAAAATTGAATACGGATTCGCTCAGAATAATTTGAAAGGACAATTGGAGCGCAAAACTATGAATTCATATGCGTTTGCAAAGAGGATTAAATTTTATGATTTTTTTAAAAAATGTTGATAGCATAAATTTTAAGGGTGCACCCGTATGTACGTTTATTTGAGAGGAGGAGGATTACCCTCTCAATTTTGAGGGATTCGTTAGTTTATTTTCTCGATGAATATGCAATAAAATTTGATTTTTACCTTATCAATATACTTCATATAATATACACATGTTCATGTAAAAACTTTTTTTCCAAAATCCTCAGGAATTAAGGGATTTTTGAATTTTAAGAATTTTTTTCGAATTTTTTCGAAAAAAAATATTTTCAGAACAGCCTTAACGGCTAAGATTTAGGAACAATGTTAAGTATCAAAAAGAAAGGAGGTCTGATATAGACAACATATATCGTTGAAGGTTGAAAAAATCTCTAATATTTGAGCCCAAAATTTCAAATTTTAATTTTTTGAAAAAAGAGGCCACCCGTATGTACGTTTATTTGAGAGGAGGAGGATTATATTTTTGAAAGGGTGAAACATTATGAATATGTTAATTATATAATAATATGTATTATTATAAAAAAGAAAAAATAAAGCACGTTAAAATTTTTCTTTCTTGATTTTTTACAAAATCTACTTAGAATTAAAAAAAAAAAAAGGTAGTGGGGCTTCCAGGCACTTCGTGCCCTCTAGCCCTGAAGATGTTTAGTATAAATGAAGTTTTTTGGGTACTGGGGGCTTCCAGGCGCGTTGCGCCCTCTAGCCCATAAAAAATTTTTGAGAGTCGTCGTCGTTGACTTTTTTGTAGAGCACTCAAAATAGTATAACTTTGTCCGGACAAGTAAGGGTCTATCGTCGCTACAGGAAAAGTTACGGGCGTTCCAAGGAAGTATACTTTGAGAGACTCTTTAGAAACTTTAGACGTTTTACATAACCATCCATGCTTTTACTTTACATCCGATAAAAGTGGTTTGGAAACCGTTATGAGATGGTTAGAGGACATACATGACTATGAGTTTAGATATGACAAGATAGAATATGAGAGAGGTCCTATAAACCGGAGAAAGTGTCATATAAACATCTGTCAAAAACCGTTTTTTACTTCACTTAAAATGCCACGTAAGCTACGTAAGAATATACGTAAGAGGAAGAGAGCATTGAAACATCCAATAGTAAAACTGACACCACAACAACAGTTGCAACAACAAATGCTGAATGACCCCACTATGTTGCAACAAATGTCAAGCAATCCTATGCTTTTAAACCGAGTTATTGGTGCACAGAGTGGAGGTTTAAGAGCGGCACTTTTAGCGAAAATGGCAGGCTATGGTGGAGCTGCAGACGGAACAGCATATAACCCTCAAAGTCAAATGAATTTGAGTTCACTCAAAAATCAAATAGCAGATGTCAAAAAGTCAAACATAGACATACAGAAGCAAATAAGTGAAAACGAAAAGAAACTAGAATATGACAGACACACAAAGAAACTCAATGAGTTAAACGTAGAGAAAAAGAAGAAAGAAGAACAACTGAAAGAACTAAGTACAGAGGAATATGCGAAAAAAGTGTCAGAAAAAGCAGCAGAAGTAGCAAAAATGGAACAAGATGTTATAAATTTGAAAAACCATACTACTCAATATAAAGTACTGAAAGATGAAGAGATAAAACAAAAAGCCCTGAAGACATATATGGATAGCGATGAGTATAAAAAAGAAGTTGAAGCAAATGTAAAGGCAGAAAAACTTTTACAGTTGCAAAACCAAACCGTACAGTATGAAAACTTAGCACAAGAAAGTAAAAATAACGACGCAGCCATGCAAAAGGCAATGAAAAGCGCAGAATATATAAAAGCTAACAATGACTGGTTAGATGCCCAAGCCAACGCTAAAGCAGCCCAACTTATAGGGTCAATAAGGACAAAAATACAAGCGGATGAAGACAGTTCAAATGAAGCTTTAATGAATGCTGACTTTAAGAACGCCTTCGAAGCTCTTCATAGTAAGGTGAAACTAGTGAACGACTTCTCATCTGGAAAGAAACTGAAGTCTGAAGGTTTCGACAACGAGTTAAGAGAAGTAGCACAAAATATGACGAAAATAACAGATGCAGCAACGAGACAGGCAGTTCAAAGTGCCTATGACGCCGTTAGAGCAACTGTTGTGGAAAGTCAAGAAAAAGAGTTACAACAGACCAAAACAGACCTAGTAAATGCTTTCTTAAAAACGAAAAGTCAGGTAGGACACTATGCTGCAGATGGAACATATGTGCCAGCTGGTGGAACTTATATACCAGCTGGTGGAACTTATATACTAGCTAGTGGAACCTATATACCACCAAACCCTCCAAGAGAAGCACCTGCACCAGGACTACCTAAAACATTTACATCGTCACATGGACACAGACACAGGCATGCACCAAAACCAACACAACAACAACAACCAGCACAACAACAACAACCAACACAACAACCAGCACCACAACAACAACCAGCACAACAACCACCTCCACAACCAGCACAGCAACCAACAGTTCAAAACCCTGCACAACAACAACCACAAACAGAGCAAGGACATAAAAGAAGTAGAGAACAAGGAAACCAAGATTTCTTAAAAATGCTTAAAGAAGACTATGGTTACCCAGATACTCTTGACTTTAGTGACAGATATAAAGAAGCTATTAGAAAGTTCAAGGAAGGAAATACTGACCCGAACCTATTTAGCTTTATGGCTCAGCACCAAATGGGATATAATTTCAAACCTGGAAAATACAAGCTCGCTAAGGGATATGATTTAATAGCATATCATCCAAATGACATGAACGAATTTACTCCGAGATATTTGATGTCAGAGCTAAATGACAATTCAACTCCCGTCATGAAACGCGTAAAAAATAGAGACGGAACGAAAGAAGAAAGGTTTATGAGTCCGGATGACTTAGATAGGGAACTTGTTAAAAACGGTCTCGGAATATATGAAATGCCAGCAGATGAGGTACAAGAAACTCCACAGGAAGAAGTTCAGATACAACCAGACATGGAAGAAATAGTTCAGCAACAACAGCTAGAAGAGCCTGAAGGAAACGAACAAGTCCCTCCTTTGGAAACTAACTTCACAGAACTAGATGAAGATTTGGAACAGCCGAAAAATCTTAACCCTCAACAAGTGTATGCGGAGAATATGGAATCTTTCCAAGAGTCTAAGAAAAATTCGGCTGACATAGTAGAAGAATATCGAAAAATGTTTGCCGACATACAAAAGACTCCAACACCAGATGAAAATATTCAGCATAGAATGGAAGTACTGAAAGAAAATGTACACAAATACAACAACCCTTTTTACTTACGACCATATAACGTTCAATCTTTGGCTGAACTCGGTGAAAATAAAAGGTTAAATTTCAACAAAACATATAAAAATGAAACATTGTTTAAAGTTCATTCAGAACCTAACCAATATGGAAACAAACCTACTTTTGTTTCTGCAGACTATGGAACTACAATGAGATGGGGTCATAAAGCTAACCCGGATAGGTGGTTCATAAACTTACAACCACAATTCCAAGAAGTTGTAGACGCAATGGAAGTCAATGGTGAACCAGATATAGCTGGTATTTTCAGCGCGGCTTTAATGCCATTGAAAGATATGAAAGATGCAGATATTTTGGACCAGTATGAAATGAACATGGCTGATGGAAATATAACACCTGACGTTCTAGAACATTTATCTCAAAGAACTACACAGAACCATAGAGATGGTATATTTGGTGAAGAGTTTAGAAAGAAAGTTAGGGAGAGCGAAGGAAGAGAACCTATTGTACATGACCTTGCAAACGAAAGTTTGCAAAATGTCATAAAAACTTACTTTGCAGACGATGAACCGAGAAGGGATGAATATTTAAGAAAACTCAAATGGACAGTACCAAATGAAATGTTAGTATTGAAAAACATGTTCCTTGACAAAATAAAACCAACTACAGAAATAAATGACGAAAGACTGAAACATTGGGTAAAAGCTTTCCCATTCACAAAAGATATAATTGGTAACATGGAAAGAAAACCAGAATGGCTACAAAAACATATATTTGGAAACGAGCTTATTCCATATGGACAAGCTCTGTTTGAAGAGCTTGAACCGGAAACTCAGGAAAGAGTCATGCAAACAATACGCGAAGACTCAAATACAAACTATGACAAACTCTTTCTAGGATATAGGTTACCTGAGATGGGCGACCAGAGCCCAAAGGCAAAAAGGACATGGGAAATTTACAACATACTAGGTGAACATGAGGCAAAGATGCAACAACTTGAAGCAGAGGGCAAGTTACCAAAAGCGACACCAAAGAAGAAGAGAAGAGTAGAACAAAGTGAAAGTAGTGAAGAAGTAACTTCATCTAGTGAAAGTAGTGGCAATGAAGGAAAAAGAAGAGTTAAAAACTCAGCCAGGAAGAAAGTAAAGCTTGGTCCACGTGGGTTCTATTATGACATATAAATCCAACTATTCTATATTTTTACCCATATGAAATGTACGCCGCTCAGAATATAACGCCAACAGTTTTGGATGCCATGAATGGAAATGTTTCCGAATGGTATAACGAATGCGACAATGCCATTAGAAGGTCAGAAATAGTTCCTGGAACTTACGAATATACAACTGCTGTTTCTTATGGAAATGTAGGTGAGTTTGGAGAAGGTTCTTCAACAACAGTAGATATTGCTTGCGACAGGTTTCATATAATTTCTATTGACAACTCATTCTTATACGTGGAACAAGACATTGAAATAAAACCTTCTGCCAAGTTGTCTGACAAGAAAGGTTGCAATGGAATTTTCTATGTCGGATACCAATATGCTCCAGAAGTTTTCATGGGATATAAGATATATTCTAACTCTGACTTAGTTCAAACAGTAACATGGGCAAACTATGAATGGTTCGCTTTGAGAAACTCAGTACAACCACAAGCTAGAGAACAAACAGACCAATATGCAACTATTGAGAAAATAAGAAGACTTGACCCTAACGTTCCAGGAGTTTATGTTAACCTTTCTGGACAAACTGCAGCAGCAGTAACCAAAGTAAAACTGAAACTTAGAGTTCCTTTGTCATCTTTCCTCATCTTCAGGTTTTTAAGATACTTGCCAACTGGGCAGGAAAAATTTCTATTGAACTTACTCCAAGCAAAAATAACTTAGTCATTGCACCAACACAAGACCCATTCACTATTACAGACGTAGAGGGAACAAATAAAACGTCATTCGCCGAATTTTGCAAAGACAAAGTTGACTTAGACTTTGGTTTCTCAAACCTCAACACTGAAGTAAACTATTATTTCAATGCTGCTGGAACTGCTTGGGACCCAGTTAAGTTCACATGCGAAAAATTTGAATGCAAGAGAATAGAAAGCAGACTTGCAGTCTATATGTTGGACCCAGATATTTCAAATGCTTTAGCTGCCAAATATATTGCAGTTCCACTTATGTTCCCTATACACCAAATATCTGTCAAAGACTTTGCAGGTGAAGTTGGAAACCAAAGTGCTGACCCAGGTGCAAGAACAGATATTGCCTTAACAACTGCAATGAAACATGCAGATACTATGTTTGTTCTTTTCAGACGAACTATAAATGACTATTCTTGTTTCTACAACCCGGTATTAAATATCATATAAACATAGATGGCAAATATTATCCAAGAGAAGAATATTCTACAGTTGAGGATATGAGGTCATACAACTTGACATTAGATGCTATGAACTTTAACAACAACTTCACAACAACCATTAACCCTGAAATGCAAAGTTCTATTATGCCATATGTGAAAGTATGGACTCATACAGGAGGTCAAAAAACTCAATATACAAATGGAGACCGTTCAAACTTTTGGCTTGGCATTCCATTTGCTGACTCAGAAGACTTTATGGGTGGTATTTCAACTGTTGGTACTGTACAAATACAATATACTGGTGACAGAGACGGTCCAGATGAATTGAAAGCAAAGAAGTTTACAAAACCAATAGCACTTTTCACGGAAGATGCTCTTTTGAAGATTCGTTCGATGAAACCTGCTGGGGCTCCTCAGATTGGCATAACGACAGCTTCCATCGAGCAGATTTTGGCAGCAGGTCAGTAAGTTGTTCTTGAACTGACTTCTCTCCGTCAAATATTGACAGTACGCCAGTTTTGACATAATATTGTATTATAAACTTTCCTTTAGAAATATCGTCAGTTTTGTTGTTATATTTTTGTCTGCTTCAAGAACTTTCACCATTTCAGTTATACCAACTTTCTTTGCTTTATGAAAATATTTTGGTTCAGCAAAGACTGCTATTCTATAACATTTACCATTGTTTGTATAAAGAACTATTCTGTCGATGTATTTGTATTGTTTGTGTGTGTAAACTTTGTTCTGCTTCAATTCGAAGAGATACTCAAATACGTCCATCTTTTTATTCTAAGTAAAATGTCATTTCCGAAAAATAGAAGCGTAAGTGTTTCAAAAGGTTTAATGGCGGTGGCAGATGTGAAGTTAAATTCACCAACTCAAACAAACAGTCAAAGTGTTGTTGTCAATGTCAAAGACAGAGATGTTGAAGTGGGGAAACCATACGAAGACGAAGATGGTATAACAATAGTTCCTGTAAAAGAACAACCAACATACCCTGAAGTTAGCAGAGACTTAAGTTCTGTTGCAGATATTCGAAACGACTACCAACAACTGAAAGACAAACTTCAAACTCAGGAGAAGATTTGTCAAGCTTTCGGTATAATGTTAAACTTGGTCGAACACAACCCTGTAAAAGTGAACTCATATGTCATTGCACCTCATGAAGTTTTGAAAGAACTATTGAAACTTTTGACAGAGGCAGACGATATAAACATCAAAGAAATAGAACCCGACGTTAGTTGCTGTGGTGTTTCATATAATGTCATTGACAAGATATACGTTATGAAAGGAGGTGAAACGTTGAACTTAAAATATAGTTTCCCAGACGTTATAAAAATATTTGACGACCACAACATTTCATTAAAATTTATTTGCTAAGTAAAAATGTCAAAACTTCTTGAAAGATGTTTGAAGAAAAATAATATAGACTTTATTTCATGTAAAGGACTTTACACACTTTTGAACGATATGAAAGACCCTGTTTTGTTTGTTCGTGTAGACAAAGGAAAGTTCTATGTCTTTACAAAATATTTGAACTTCTTAGACAGAGAACTTCAAGAAACGCCATGTGAAAGTTTAGATGAAGTTCTTCTCCACTTTCAGAAAAACTTTTAAATATATGTAAATGGCAGAAGACATAGTGGTTTATACTATTACGACTAAAAACCCTGAGTCATATAATTCTATAACAACAAACTTACAAAGTCCTCAAGGACGATATTGTAAACTAACTTTAAACACAATGACGACTAAAGCCTGTTTTGCTCTTTTGACACCAGAAGATTTTATTGTTGTGAATGGTAAAAAATACTCCTTTGAAGATACTTACTCAGATATACCACCAACAGGTTTTGTTGACTTATTTAATACTTTAAGTACGGGTGTAAAATGTGCTGCAACTAGAGCAGGTTTCATTATGTTTGGATGTCCGACTGAGTTTACTATAAACAATATGAGCTATAATACAAAACTTATATCTGGTTTTTACTACCAACAGTTTCCTATAACAGGAAAAGGTGTCATACAAGGAATGTCTATTCCATTGACTTTAAGTACACCTATTTTATATATTGTTTCAAACTTAGGTTCAAAGTGTTATTCGAATGTCGACAGAAACTACTATGACCAAAAGATACTTATGCGTATAAATAACACATTCTCTGCTGGTTTGCCTATTGTTCATTCGAATGCAGAGTTTTCAGCTTTAGTAAACTCAAACACTTTAGCAAACATAAACTTAACCTTAGTTGACGCAAACTTTGTTCCTGTAAAACTTTTATGTCCTATGTATTTGTCAATGACGGCAGAAAGTTTCGAATTGGAAGATGCAACTGGTGAAAGTATTGTATTACAAGAACAACTTCAACAACAAATAGCTCAAGAACAACTTCAACAACAAATAGCTCAAGAATAAAAAAAATATTTTTTTTATTTTTATAAAAATGTACAGAATAGATGTTTCAGATTTTTATGACTTCCAAACATTCAGAAATATGTGTCCATTTCGAGACTATAACAAAGCAGTCGAGAATTTGAAACGTTTAGTCATTTATGTCGACTCTGCCCCAGAATTTTATGTTATGAAAGAATGGGATGTTGTCTTTAACAAACCAAGAGCAACAATAGTTTCAGAACAAGAATGTAGACAGAAACTTAAGAAAATAAAAGTCGTACAAGTTGGCATGAAGATGTTAGATGCTTGGGATATCTTATTGTCAAAACTTGAAGATTTTTCAGTTCGTGGTATAAAGTTTTATACACCTTCTCCAAACTTCTATTCTATCTTCACTGGATATAAATATGAACAAGTAGAATGGAAAGAAAATATTATAGAAGCTTGGTTAGACCATGTCAAAGAAATTATATGCAATGGAAACGAAAGAGTCTATGAGTATATCTTATGTTGGTTTGCAAACATCTTACAACATCCAAGTGCTAAAAATGAAACTGCTCTCATTATAATTGGAAAACAAGGAACAGGTAAGAACACTTTCTTTACAGATATCTTATGCAAACTGTTAGAGGGCTATTCGAACCCGAATATGACAAACTTAGAAAACATCTGTGGCAAGTTTAACTCTTCAATAGAGAATATGAAACTTATAGTATGTAACGAACTTCAAAGTATAGATACAACAAAAGTTTTGAACTCAGATGCTTTGAAGAGTCTTATAACAGACAAAGTTGGAGTTGTTGAAAGAAAATATAAAGACCAAAGAGTTTGTGAAAATGTTGCAAATTTCATTATGGTTTCAAACAATGCTGTTCCGATGAAGTTAGAAAGTTCTGACAGAAGATATGTAGTTGTCAGAACGTCAGAAGCTCATATGCAAGATACAGAATATTTTGACGCTTTGTCAGAAACTTTGACATCTGACTTTTACAACCACTTGTTCTCATATTTCATGACATTAGATATTTCTAAGTTCAATCCAAGACAAATTCCACATACCGAAGAGAGACAAACATTGTTAGAAGCAAACAAGAGTGTATATGAACTGTTCATAGATGAAACTGACTTTGAGTGTTTAGATGAAAGGTCATTGTACGATTCGTATAAACAATATTGTCAAGAGTATGGTTATATGACAGCGTCTAAACGAACATTCTTGGCAAATGTCAAAAGTCTTTTAGACGTACAGAATGGTGTATATACAAAGAAAAATTTTTCTGAGTAAATTTAAAAAAAAATATTTTTTTTATCCGATAGAAAAGATGACAAAATTCATCTCAGTAAACAAGTACATGTCAGGACTTAAAGAAGAACTAGACCCATTCACATATTTGAATGTTTACTTCTACCATTTTGAAAAGTCTTCATTCAGCAAAGTTTGGAACATCGAACCAGTTAAGTTTGCTATTGTGACTAAAAATGGTGCGAAATTTGAAGACTTAGACATAGAAGGTTTGTTAACAGTCAAAGAAAGTTTTGACAGAAGGTTCTCAAACCTTAAAGAAGGCAAAGCATACAAACTTGTTATACCTTATGAACCAAAGAAAGCAGACGACTATGAATATTATGAGTCTAAAGTTGTAGAAGTTCAAGGTAAATTGGGTAAAAAGATTTTAGAGTCTAAGCCAGTGTTTACTCCTAAAGAGGAAGAGAACATTGACATTGACCCAGAAATGTTCTAAAAATAAAATTTTATTTTTACATGTCAAATTTCTTCTTCTCTGGTTCAGGTTCTTTCTTCTCTTCTTCTACTTTCTTTTTTTTCTTTTCTTTCTTCTTCTTTTCTGGTGGAGTTATGTCAAACTTCTCAGAACCATATTTTTGTAAAAGTTCTTTGTCCTTTAATAGCTCTTCTATTCTGTTTTCTATTTCATCTTCAAGAACAGCGCATGTGTCTTCTTTGCATTCTAAGAAGTTTTGTTGGACTTCATCTCTCCAAGAGGCGTCATCTCTGTCAACAAGTCTGTCATTGACAAATTTTAAGACTTCTCTGCTTAATGTTTTATGGTTCTTGTCATATTCCCAGAAACAGAACTTTAGAACAAATTCACCTTTCTTGTTTACACTATGTAAGATTTTATGGTCGACAGATGTTTTGCTGTCGAAAAGCTTGTCTCGAATATAGATAGCGAAATCGCTAGACATTTTCTAAAAGATAAAAATTTTAATTTTTCTAAAAATATGTTAGAAAAAAAGTTTGCTGACATTGACAAAAAATTTGAGAATGTTTTAAATAAGAACAAGAGGAAGTTGGAAAATGCTCAGATAAAACCCATACATGACAAGTTCTTATTTGCTCAGAATGGTATAACAGGTCTAATTGCACCGCCTGGGTCGGGTAAGACTTTCACTTATCTTAAAATGGCTGCACAACAACAAGAACTAGATGAGAAGAACCCATTCTATGAGTTAGTTGTCATTTGTAGTACTTCGGGTCAATTTGACCAAACCGTCAATTCGTTCAAAGATATTATAAAAAAGTCTAAGTTAGTATGTATAAAAGACTCTGAGTTGTTAGATTGGATAAAGAAGTACCAAAGAAGAGTTTTGAAGTACAATGCTATAAATGAGTATGTCAATTCGAAGTTTAAAGACCCAAATGAGGAAATGCAGAGAATATTAGAGAAGAAACACTTCAGAAACAAACAGAAAGAGATAGAATACATTTCGAAGAAATTGCAATCTTACGATTGGAAGACTTACCCTCATAGATGTCTTCTTATCTTAGATGACTTTGCTTCTCATCCTTTGTTAAAGAACAGAGAACAAGACATGTGTCGAATTCTTAAGAAGCTCAGACACTTCAACATCTCTGTTGTCATTTGTGTACAGACAGCCAAGAGTTTAAGTAAGGATGTAAAGAGAATACTTACTGACATTGTACTTTTCCCCGGATTGTCCGAAGACGATTTCATGGAACTTATGAAAGAGTCCATGGCAGGTAAGTTTGACAGACATGAACTATGGGAGAAGTACAAAGTCATACAAGACCCTCATACTTCTTTCAGAATTCATATCTACGCAAACAAAGTTCAAATTGTAAAAAGTCAAGCGTAAAAAATGTAAGTGTTGAGTCTTAGTCTGTTGTGGTGCTGCAGCTTTCGGTTCTTCTGGCTTTGGAATGGACTCGGTTGGTGGTACGTCGGACATTCGTTTGTGTCCTGTCGGAAGGAAAAACTTTTCCTGTTGGATGGAAGAACTTTTCCTGTCGGAAGGAAAAATTTTTTCTGTCGGAAGGAAAAACTTTTTCTGTCGGAAGGAAAAACTTTTTCTGAAGTTCGACCAAAAAGTTCTCAATTTTCGAAAATTTGAATGGTTTACGGACGGACAACTGGAAAAATTTTTCCTGTTGGAAGGAAATTTTTTTCCTGTCGGAAGGAAAATTTTTTCCTGCCAGAAGGAAGGACTCGGAATGCCAGAAGGAAGGACTCGGAATGCCAGAAGGATTTGACAAGACAATTGACCTTATAGAGCTACCTGAGCCATCTGAAGTCAAGCTTGAAAAATAAATGGTTCATTTACTCTGCTTGTTTGAAGTTGTCAAAATACTCTGTTATTTTTTCTTTCAGTAGCGGCAAATCTTCTTTGAAGGTAAGTATTGTACAACCTTTAATATCATAGTGTGTTTGAGGTAACGTATCTTGAACTATTTGTTTCACATCTTCATTCGGTGTCATTGAAATCGGTAAGTTTTCGCGATAGAACCAATTTCTGTCAGATTTGTAAATCTTAGCAAGGTCGTAAAAGCTTTTGTTGTTTCTTCTGACTAAATGCAACATAACCATATCTCTGTCTTCTTCATTTTCCATCTCTTCAGTATAAATCATATACTTATAGTTCTTTTCCTTTCCTTTTGGTACCGAACGTGGTATTCTTTTCTGAAGGCTTTTGTCTTTTGCTTCAATGACTTCATCTTTTGCATGAAGTTTCTTTTCCATCTCTTCACGTTCTTGTCTATGAATTTCGTCAAGAAGTCTGTAAATATACCAAGCATAACGAGGCGAAGCCCACATTGCAACAGCATTTACAAGAAGTCTATGTACATACCAGCCTCTCAAACCATTTGGCAAATTTTCACGATTTTCATGAGTTTTAGGCGACTGGGGTTTTGTACCTACTCGCTGTTCTTCACTGTTTTCATAGAGTTTTGGCGACCCCGAAAAAAGTCTGTCTCGCTGTGCTTCGCTCAAAAGTTCTTGTGTGCTTTGGTTCCTAAACCAGTCTTTAGGAAGCTTAGTATCTGGAGCAAAACATGCTGTCAAAATACTTTGCATTTGGTACATATCGTCTTTGACCGAACGAATGAGACGGAGTTGTTTGTTAAACTGAACCCACTCGTATTCTTCATTTATGGCTTCATGAACGATAGCAGTTGTTGTGTTCTCTGTTGTTGTCATATCTGTCTTTACATACAAAATAAAAAAAATATTTTATAAAAAACTAGCGTTATTTCCTGACTTTCACAAAAGACCAAAAATAAACGCTTTACATGTATTTTTCAGCAACTTCGTCAAATAATTTTATAGCTTTACCTATCTCATCTACTTCAAACGTTTCTTTACCTTTCGTGGGAGCACCATACATTTTCTCAAACTTTTCAAGTAGTTCTGTTTCAGCAGCTCTCATATCATTAACAAACGCAACCTTGACTCTATTGACTGTACTGTCATATCTTAGAGTTATATTATATGTTCTTCCTATCTTATATCTCTTTGTATTGAAGTCCTTCGGTTTCTGAACGATGTAAAGTAAGCCTTCACTGCAACGTTCCGTATCGAATGAACCATATGTTATGAAGTTATATCCAACAACTGGGTCTAACCATAACAAAACTATTGGTATAAGACTTTTGTCGATGAGATATGCTGCAGTTCCATAGAATCTTACCGATATCATAAGCTCAGGATTTCTTGTCAAAATATTCTGAGTAGAAGCATTTTTAACCCAGTCCTTTGCTTTCTTTCCAAATGGAGATATAATGTCTGACAAAGAATATTTGTTGTATTTCTTTGAGTATCTTACGTTTAAATCACCTATTCTAACCACTTTGGTGTCATTGTCTATCTTTCTAACTGTTTCAAACTCAATGTTTGTCATTTTCTGTCTTTACATACAAAATAAAAAAAATATTTTACAAAAAACTAACTTTATTTTTTCTATCTTGTATAAAAGATATGATTTCAGGGATTTTTTTGACGAAGTGTCAAAGTTCTCTTCGTAAAAAAATAACAGTTATATAATGAAATTTGGTCATTTTTTCACGATTTCAGGGATTTTTTTGACGAAGTGTCAAAGTTCTCTTCGTAAAAAAATAACAGTTATATAATGAAATTTGGTCATTTTTTTACGATTTCAGGGATTTTTTTGACGAAGTGTCAAAGTTCTCTTCGTAAAAAAATAACAGTTATATAATGAAATTTGGTCATTTTTTTACGATTTCAGGGATTTTTTTGACGAAGTGCAAAAGTTCTCTTCGTAAAAAAATAACAGTTATATAATGAAATTTGGTCATTTTTTTACGATTTTCATGAGTTTTAGGCGACTACGTTTTTGTACGTACTCGCAATTTTTTACGATTTTCGTACGGAATCTCTATCCTCGGTTTTCCTCGGGTAGCAAACATATGAGGAAATTCATGAAATTTGGTCATTTTTTTACGATTTTCATGAGTTTTAGGCGACTACGTTTTTGTACGTACTCGCAATTTTTTACGATTTTCGTACGGAATCTCTATCCTCGGTTTTCCTCGGGTAGCAAACATATGAGGAAATTCATGAAATTTGGTCATTTTTTTCAGCAAAAATATATTTTAGGGTAGATGG